TCGGAACACAGTGTCAGCCATAAAAAAGCTTTTCTGATAGCCAGTCAGTTGCATCCCACGATAGACGACACGATGTTTGGATGGGGCCTTGTTGTTAATTTGACTGGCAGCTCTGCGAATTATTGGCATAAGTTGCGAAATTGTTTGCTCATTATCTTGACATAATTGCTCATTGACATATATGTAGAATGTTTCTGAACCAAATTTCAAATTGGAGCTATATGTTTGAATTACATCGTGTTCATCCGGAGCGTTCATAATTGCTGTAGTTATTTGCAGACTGTTCAAAAAGCCATAGAATAAACCACGCACTGAATTAATTACAGTTTGTTTATCGGGACGTCGTTGCGTTCGATTATAAGACTTAAGAAAGTTACTTTTAAAGAATTCATCTTGGGTTACTATAGGTACGTAAAGAAAGAATCTATCTTCTCTGAGAGTAGACATATTCACTAGAAATAACTAAAACGAAGCAGACCTACCATGAATAGCAAATGAAATTTCATGCAACTGTGTTTTACTACGCTTGCACGACAGAATCCTAAGACAAACTGCAACTTGTATCAGTTGTAAAGTGAACTAACTAAGTAAAGATAATGAGAAGCTAAAACGAACAGTGCGGCCTCTTTGATGTTACAGTTTATGCTGCTTCGTTACGCAAAAACACAATTTGTGACTCGATGTCATCCCATGTTGTGTAAATCGCCGGTTAACCGCGATTATTTCAGCTGAAGCCAGAGCAAAACAGCTTAAACATCGACGGTTACGCGCCCAGTTAACCGGAAAAACGGTCGGTTAGCCGCGGTTATTTTCGGTTAACTGGGCGCGTAACCGTCGATGTTTATGCTGTTTTGCTCTGATTTCGGCTGAAATAACGGCGGTTAACCGACGGTTTTCGTACGGTTTACACAACATGGGATTACCGTATGGAGTTTCTTACGGTACATTCATGGACGCTGTGCAAACGCGAAAATAACAAATTCTTAGCCCTTGTCTTAGAAAATCGCTATATTATGAACAGCGGACTATATAAAAACTATAGAATCACAGTTAAAGTATAATTCATATACTTGTTCGATTGACTTTATCTGGTATCATGTTGAAAAGGACAATTGAATACTAAAAATATCCTTTTTCCATTCAATATGCTCCAGCTTTTGGCTACCGAGATTCCTCAGAAATTTAGAAAACACGAAACCAATATTATCCTATCACCATGCACAGCTTTCACTAAAGTCTTATTGTACGAGCACTGTTTGCTGCCATACGATTTTCGCCTAAGAATAAGAAGGTCGAGATCTTGCGTGGTTTGCCATCTTCGCCTCGGAAAAGATACGACCCGAAAATCTGATTTCAATGTTCTAATCTGAAACTCTAACTATGAAGGGTGCTCATTGAGTCCAGGATATATCTACGTTTTTGCACGCTTTAACTATCACACAATTCATGTCATTATATATACGAATCGGTGTGAGAGTGTGCTTAAACCATAGACCGGCCACTCATTAAATGTTATAGAGAATTTAAACTAAAGTTATTCAGAGAGCACTGAATGCCGTACTTTACAGGATTTGACTATAGAAGCATGTGGGTATAATTTACAGGGTGTGAAAGATATATAAATGGCAACAAGTTTGACCCGTCAAGTTAGAAAAAGTTGCCAATGAACAGACTCAGGGAAAAGCCGTGCCTGGGTCATAGCTTCCGGTGCCACCCATACTACAGATGTGTATCGCCCCATTCCTTTCTACTCACTTCACAGCTGCTGATGTTGAAAGTGAAAGTGAAACCGTGTTGTTCGTTGAGAGCTCGATGACATAAAAACAAAACTTCCCTTTATGACTTCTTTATCATTACTTCGCATTCAACTATAAAAGACGCTTTCTTTTCCTTTACTCCAGTTCGTTGTTATCGAGAAAGTAGACAAAAAGGTGATGAAAGCAACAGATTGACAATCGTGTACTTATTTCTTTTTAATGAATGCAGAATATAGACTTACGATGCATATAAATAGCATATAACCACTTAGATATACTGATACTTGAGAAATATATAATGCACTATTTATTTTGAAGTTTGTTTTATATAAACCATAAAACAACTTTTATTTATGACATAGTAAAAAAATTCCGTTGTTTAAAGGCTTTTACTTTTTTTGTCGTAGGCAGCATGATTGAGTTTACTAATCAATGCATACGTATGGTTGTTGAATTTTATCAAAAAGTTTTACTATTTCAGCCTTTTGTTCTTTGTTTCTACTACTCCGGTCCTACAAACTATGTGCCAGTGCGTTTAATGGTAAAAGCCTGTTGGAGCTTCCTTAATTGATTGACTGGATATGGTATGAAAGCCAAGTAGGTCTTACAGACAAAGCATTCTCGAAAGATTCTGTTCATGAGAAGTTGTTCGCAGTACTTGTCTCCACTAGATAAGATATTTTTCTCGCTTTACTTCGCCCTTGTTATTTCTAGTGCATTATATTTGTCAAGTAAAGAAAAAGTTCTAGATATTTTCCCGTCATTTTCCGTGCTGTTCGTTACCGTGGCTATGGGCTGTTCTCAATACCCCATATTCTGTAGGATAGTGGATAAATACATTGTGATATTATCTGTTCTTTAGGTTCTAGAGGGAGAGAGGCAAAGGTTATGTGCCACCCTGTAGAATGCACATATTATAGATTATAAAAACACAGTGTATTATTTTATTACTATGCACGGTGTATGCAATTAAAAGTTTTACTAGTATAGGTTTTCACTCGGTTCTTGAATTCTCTTCTGAAAACTAATACTGCCACATGATTCAACGTGGTCGATAACCTATGTTCTCATTCATTTCCCACAGTCCTAAATCTAACGGCAGAGGAGTGCTAAGCCATAAGATAATGCGTTCATAGCTGCCGAATCATGGGTTTTCAAGATGTCGCTTGGATCCAGTTTTGTAGAGGACACTTCAGACTCTATATGCCCCCATAGATCAAGAAAGCCCTATAGAAATTTCATAAGTCAGTCAATATCCATCCATCCTTCTTCAGATTGTCAGGAAATACTGTATTTTATCCACTCATTCTGAGTTTCTACGTAAAATCTATAAAATATTCTTTTAGTTCCGAATGTTTCTGGAAAACCTTTCTAGAAACCAAAGTATTTCCTGTAGATTTTTTCAATATTTACAGAGCTTTACGGTATGCTCTAGATAAAATAGAGTATTTTCTGAAGTTGGTTGGATGAATATTAACTGACTTATGAAATTTCTAAATTTTTGATGAAAATAGTCAAAAATGGATTATTACTAGTATAGGTTTCCATTCGGTTCTTGAATTCTCTTCTGAAAACCAATACTGCCACATGATTCAACGTGGTCGATAACCTATGTTCTCATTCATTTCCCACAGTCCTAAACCTAACGGCAGAGGAGTGCTAAGCCATAAGGTAATGCGTTCATAGCTCCCGAACCATGGGTTTTCAAGATGTCGCTTGGATCCAGTTTTGTAGAGGACACTTCAGACTCTATATGTCCCCATAGATCAAGAAAGCCCTATTTGACTTTCAGAAAAACCAAGCTCGTTTCCCAAAGATTCTCGGGAAACCGGCTTCGAAAAGTTTTCCGAAGATCCGCTTTGTTTATGGGAGGATAGTCTCAAGTTTTGTCTATCGAATGGTGAAAACTGCAAGTCTCTATTCTTATTTACTGCTGAGTCATTAAAAAAATAACCGCCGCTGTCGTGTTTTGGTTCCGATAGTCGATATCGTACCCGACATATTTTAACCGAGTTTAAACTGGAGATTTTCTGAGAAAAAAAATAAGAATTTTTCCTAGTAGATTTTCCTAACTGCTAGTTTTAGTAAAATTTGCGCGGTCCCCCATAGCCCAATTTCAAATTCGTCCAAACTTTTACAGAATATTCTTCTACATGCCCTCTATCAGCAAAGTTAGCGTAAATTAGCACGTTCACGGACTTAGATACGAATTTTTCTCAAAACCCTTGGTTTTCTAGGTATTTTCCATTTTTATTGGTTCAAAAACGTTTCTTTTATTCAATAAAAATGACATACTCGCAATTAGCGCAGAAAACTGCATCGAATGACGTACAAGACTCATATTATGTATAGTGAGAAGGAGTTCAGGCGAAGTTGAAATGTCCTTGGAATGTTTTAGAAAGTGTTCGCTTCTGCTTACGCTACTTGTGTCACAATCTGTTTGCCAGGTGACGATACAATTATTCAAAATTTTTATTAATTGATCTGTCTTTTCAAATTTCAGATGAACAACATCGTTACCTTGAAATTGTAAATCAGTCACATTCACTTGTTTATCATTATCATATGTTTTATGCAATAAATCATTGTATTGAAATAAAGCGTTTGTTTCTTTCTCACTGTTCGCTCCTTCCGATCGATATGATGGTATATAAAGAAAAACGAAATAGAACAGAAGAATTGAAATGCATAACAATTCATAATATACAACATGATATGAGAACCGTATCTCTATATTTCATTCAACTATGTTTGAGACACGGTTTGACAGATCTTCGAAAACTGGTGGTAATCAGTTATTTGTGTAATCACAACTCGAAATGTGGGTTATCATGCTGAATCACTGACCGGTTAATTTGCATCTTATATAAAAAAAATGGAAACGCAAAATAATAGAAACGTCCTATTTCTAATTGTCTATAATTTGCGCGTTTCTAACGAAACAGAAGAAATTGTATTTATTCCTAAACTTCTGGAAATTTGGGAAAAAATTGTGCTCAAAGATTGTGCTCTCATGGACGAGTGCTTCTTCGGTCACATCATAGGTTGTTTATCCACGACAAACGACCTCGGTCACCCTTTTAACAATATGAATACAATAAAGGTGTTTCATCATTTCTTATCTCCTATTTTTATAACAAAAAAAGGTAAGATTTTTTATTCCGTTCCCTTACGTTGACGATAGATCAGAAGAAAATTGTTGTCGTATAGTTTTTATACAACAAATACAATTTTTCTGCTCTAATGTCATTGATAAAAAATCTCGAAGATTACACAATTATTTGGCTTGATTCTGATATATTGACAAATTATGAAACCAAACAGCGTTTACGCTGTATTATTAATTATATTAAATTATTCGATAATTGCGATGAATGTTTACGATACATCAATACGTTGGAAAAAGATGAAAAAATTTTTTTTTTGGTTTCTGGACATTTTTGTCAATCAATAGTACCAACTGTTCACGATCTTGAACAAATATTATTTATTTATATATTTTGTAACGCTCCATTACTATATGATGAATGGTCCAAAAAGTATTCGAAAATACTTGGACGGTTATTTACTGATCAAAATAGCTTGTATTTAAAATTAATTGATGATGTTAAAATATCAAATCTATCAACAATAACAATATTTGAAGAAAAATCATTAAAAAGCTTGACAAAAGAAAATGGTCTGTTTATGTGGTTTCAGTTATTGACAATGACTCTCGTTCAAATGTCAACTACTCAAGATTCAAAACAAGATTTAATCAAAATCTGTCGTGAATATTATGAAGACAACGATATAGAACTGATAAAAATAGATGAATTCGAAAGAGACTATGATAAAACCAAAAAACAGGCTATTTGGTGGTACACATTGTCATACGTCTATTACATATCCTGCAGTGAAGGAACAATCGACTGTGAAAGAGATTGCTGATATCATGGAGGTGATAAAAAAATGACGTCTGGTAAGAAGCTAAGATTTATATCCCTCCATACCATTCTTAAGCTGAACATAGTCTAGTGTAGAGGAAATTCTGCGCTGCAAGATAAGATCACATCCAACATTCCACGACCTTGTTTGAAAAAGTTATGAATTTGTAAAGTTCTTACTCAAAAACGTAACCAAAACTGAAGTTTTGTAGTTTTTCTCTTCTTTCCAGTGCCTTCAAATTCTTTTTATACATAGTCTGATAGAGCAAGTGTTTTTATCACAATGACATATCTTACACAGTTATCCCGAAACTTCATCCGACTGAGCCGAAAATGATATCATGTCTACCGGGGACGACATCTCAGAATGTGAATTTTGGTTCTTCGTTTCTCACGTCTCGTAATATAAGCAGTTTTCAAAAATTAAAACCTCAGGTTTTGCACAATGTTCTTAGGCTCAATCGGATGAAGTTGCGAGATAACTGTGCAAGATATGTCACTGTGAAGAAAATACTTTGCTCTACCAGACTGTTATGTTACGCACCAGAGTCGTGCCACAAGGAAGAAGATCGCCATAAGGTTATTGGGTAAGCATATAGTCTAAGTTATTGCGGAAGGATATTGAAGATTGTTGCATCAGCCTTGGTCAACGAGATAGAACAGTTCTAGGATGGTGCAAGAACCTAGAATATGACGTGTTGCATAATCAGGGTATCAGACTTCGTTTCTTAAGATTGTGCAATGGCTTAGTATATATACGTGCGTTTTTTGCGTAATGCTATCTTTGTATAAAGTTTTCTCAGATAAACGTTAGGTGAGAAAGATCTTACGAGGAAATGACACCAACTGTCTAATCGCTTTTAGACTAAGACTCAATGGACAATAGGTAATCGGGTGTGTTGAATCCGAATATGACAATGGTTTTTTGCTGCTAGGCCTTGGTAGACTGAGTTTTCTAGAAAACCAGTTTTTCAGAAACTCTAGAGAATAACTAGAAGCTTTCTTAATGAGGTGCAATTGTAGCCAGGAAATTTCTGATTAAAATGAGACATCTCACAGCTCTACACGACCTTTTTTTGCAAAGTTATAGAGTTTACAAGAAAAGCCCTAAATGTTCATTGTCAGCTCAAAGCTACAGAAATATGAAAAAAATTAATTTAGGACTTTTCTTGTAAACTCTATAACTTTGCAAAAAAAGGTCGTGTAGAGCTGTG